GCTACCGCTTGAGCCACATCTCCAGCCCTATGTATTTTTTTTTAATATTTATTTTTTAGTTGTAGTTGGACACAATACCTTTACTTACTTATTTTTATGTGGTGCTCAGGATTGAACCCAGGGCCTTTCATGTACTAGGTGAGCGCTCTACTGCTGAGCCACAACCCCAGTCCATATATTTGTTTTTAAATGTTTATTCATTTGAATCATTAAGAGCACTAATATACCTTTAAAACAACAACAACAACAACAAAAACCACAGTATTGGGGATTGACCAGGGATTCGAATATGCTAGGCAAGCTCTCTACCTACTGAGCTATATTCCCAATCCTTTTTATGTTTTAATTTTATTTTGAGACAAGGTCTACGTTGCCCRAGCTGACTTTGAACTTGTGATCTTCCTACCTCTGCCTCCCCAGTAACAAATTGCTATTAGGCCTGTTTACTAACATACTTATTTTACAGTCTCTCTCCAGTTGTTTTCTTTTCYTCTGGATCTTTGGGTATTTTCTTCTCTATGATCCAATAGAAAACTTTTGGAAAGTGCAAAGGTACTTTCCTGTCCTGTGTAAGTCCAGAATCTGGTCATATAGTGGAGACTTTGTTYTCTCCCCTGGGAGTGCCCACAATGACATGAAGGAGTGTGGATTCCTGCAGAGTCCTCTTGTTGGGCTTCCGGGTCCAAGCCCTGCAGGTTCCAGCATCAGTCCCGTTTATTGCTTTATGTTTCTTATGTGTGRAAACATTTTTTAAAATAAGTTTGCCTATTTGGGGGCTTTCCTCTCTGTCACTGTTATAATTGTAAGGGTGTGGTTGGGAAGGCACATTCTTCAAAGCATTAATGTCTAGGTGCACCATTACCRGGAGTCTTTGTAAGCACAGGGGAGCTGGGAATGTGGTAACCCAGAGTTGGATATAAATATAAGTCATTTTGAATGACTTGCTAATGAACAGGACGGAGGTGGAGGCTAGGAATGGGATTAATGTGGCCACGACCTCTCTGAGGCTTATGTGCATCTATCTGTTCTTCATTTAGTCATAAGATGCAAACACTAATTTAATAGAATCCAACAGCCTTAGAGCTGAAATTGGCTTTAGAACTTTCCTAGTGGTTCTGTGGAAGGTAAAATGCAGGTATTTGCTGAAAACATCTAGTTCATATGAGTCGTTTAATTATGTAAAGTTTCTATCAGTCGGATCATATAGGCTCTTGAACCCAAGAAAGTCTTAGGCAGGAAACCAAGATCTGAACTGCCCCTAAGCAACACTGATAGAAGGTGGAGGGCATTGATCATACTGATTTTAACAGATATCCTTGGGAGTGGTTTAAGAGTGAACTGAAGGCCTAGCTTAGTGATAGGGCAAGTGCCTAGCGTGTGTGAGGCTCTGGGTTCAAGCCCCAGCATGCCGTGAGAGGTGGCCCATTGTCTGTGCATAAAGCTTTACAGTTTACTCAGCTTTCAAGTAGTAAGGGAGGCAGAGATGGCGAGTTGACAATCCTAGCATAGTGGAGTGGAGTGGCCACCACCACTGTAGTAGGGGGTCCTATAGGGCACCACTATAGGACTGAAGTCCCCTTGTTTGGGGTGACTGATTTGAGTGAGGACAGATTAGGATAGTAAGAGTTTGGGGTCTGGGCAGTACCAAAGGCCTGGACTCAGGTGGGGAYAATATGAATGGAGATGAGGTTGATGGAAGGGATGCTAAGATTTGGGGACCAAGAGAAGGGGAAATTCATGATGCCTGTCGAGATTTTTTACATAGGTACCTGGTTGGTACCCATGCYAGCCAGTGGCCAGCACCAGGCATGTTTTGAAAGCATGGTCCCTAAAYGCAGCAAGGTTGAGAGGTGGGGCTTTTAGGCCATGATTGGGCTGCGAGGACTCTGACAYCGGTGAATTGATAGCTTATTGGACTTCAGGGAGGTGAGACCTAGTTGGAGGGCATTCCCTGGAAGTGTTCATCTTCTCTCCTGCCCTTCTATTCACTCTTACTTTTTCCTTCTCTCTCTGCTCTCTGGCTTCCTTCAGCTGAGCAACTATCCTCCACCATAGCCTTCGACCATGATGTTTCTGCTCTGGCATTAGTCAGCCGTGGACCAAGACCTCTGAAATCATGAGCCAAAATAAATCTATCTTCCTCTAAGTTCTTGTCAGGTATTTTGGTCACAGTGTCGAAAAGCTCACTAACACAGTACCTTTGCAGAAAAATATGGAATCTAAGGAAAACCGTAAGTTCAGAAGGTGGGAGATRGAGATGATGATTTCATTTGAAAAGTTGTGGATTTGAATAGCAGAATTGGCTTCCTTGCAATGGCGAGAGGAGACAGACGTTAGATAAATATATGAATCTTATGCCTGCCACTGGCCAGTTCTGTGAAGAGAAGTAAATCAGGAAAGAGAGATAGTGAGGAATAGAATGTGAGGTCAGATGGATCATATTGAACTACTGGCTGTGCATGAATTTTTTTAAAAGTATGTATTAGTGCCTCCCCAAATCCTTGACCTCAGGGAGCTTCTGTCCTGGGGGAGAGACAGACAAAACACAGTAGAAATAAGTCAAATGTGCAGATGATATTAGATATAAATATGTACTAAGGAAAAAACAGGGCAGAGGATTAACATGGTGAAAGTTTGGGTAGCCCAGAAGGACTGCACTGTCAAGGTGGTGTTTGAGGAAAGCCTGGAGGAGTGGAGGGAAGCCTGTCATGACTGTTGGCAGCAAGTGTAAAGATCCTGAGGCAGGGAGGCAGGTGCCTGGTGTGCTGGGGATCAAGGCTGGAGGGGTGGAATCAGCTGGAGATTGTATAGGCCTCAGGGTCTAGATCAAGGTTTTGGCTTTTTCTGGGTTGCAAAAAGCTTTGATCCAGGCAAGAGCTGACTCCACAGACAGGGGACCTGACGTGGCTCTAGCCAGGTACCAGCCACGTGGAGGTTAGAAGTGGCCAGCCCTGGAGGAGGATTGGCTTCTGGGCCTGACAAGGGTGGGAGCAAGGGGAGGAGGTAAGGGTAACTTCCAGCCATTTCCCCGAGCATCTGGTCAAGTCCTGAGGGGAAGAACCAGGTTGAAGGRGGGAGTAGTTTAGAGAACAGCGTTGCCTGTGGGGACATCAGTTTCGGGGTTAGAAAATTGGATTTGAGATTGTGGTGCTCAAGGAAAAAGTGGCTGGGAGGTAACAGTGTGGAGATGGTTTTTAAAGCCAGGGGACAGTGAGYGGTACGTGTTGCCAAAGAGGAAAGAGACTTGGAGGCTGGGAGAGGGACAGCAGAGGGGACAGCTGGGG